ATTATGTACACTATTTACATTATTCGGACTATTGTCCTCATCTTTGTCGCCATATTTATTACAACGTTTCGGCCCTTTAGTATCTGTCTATATTTCTGAGATGAGGTATTATGTACACTATTTACATTATTCAGACTATTGTCCTCATGTTTGTCGCCATATTTATTACAACGTTTCGGCCTTTTAGTATCTGTCTATATTTCTGAGATGAGGTATTATGTACACTATTTACATTATTCAGAGTATTGTCCTCATGTTTGTCGCCATATTTATTACAACGTTTCGGCCTTTTAGTATCTGTCTATATTTCTGAGATGAGGTATTATGTACACTATTTACATTATTCGGACTATTGTCCTCATCTTTGTCGCCATATTTATTACAACGTTTCAGCCGTTGTACGCTCCGGCCTTCTTCAGGTGGTTGGAATGTCGAACTGAACCTTTTATTTCGATCCACGTGCCATGTTTAATGGATGTCAGTTGTCAGTTATCTCCTGTTAATTCCCCTTTTCAAGTTCTCCACTGCCTTAACCGGGTATTGGACTCAAGGACAAATGGCACAGTGGGTAAAGGCGTTAGTTAGATCCAGTGACAGAGCCTAAAGAGTTTGAGTTCAATACTCGGTTAAGGCAGTGGAGAACTTTCAGAGGGGAATTAGCAGGAGATAATTGATAACTGACATCATTTAAACATGGCACATGGAAGTAGAATAGTCTACCCCAGTGAGCGAAATAAAGCGTTCAGTTCGACATTCCGACCACCTGAAGAAGGTTGGAGTGTAGAACGGCCGAAAGGTTGTAATAAATATGGCGACAAAGATGAGGACAATAGTCCGAATAATGTAAATAGTGTACATAATACCTCATCTCAGATGTAGACAGATAAAAAAATATTCTTACAATCCGTTATCGTATTTACAATGGTATTATTCTTACAATCCGTTATCGTATTTACAATGATATAAATGCTATTATTTTTTACGTGCCGACTTACTTATTTCCCACAAGGATGAACACGTAGAACTTCCTCTACTGTTCGGCAGCCGAAGACCCACCAGATGTTTTGCCTAAATCATCATCCCAAAGACACGCCTCGGTCATTGCGGGAATTGAACTGTCACACTACGGATACAGCATAATATCAATTTAATGTAAAATAAATGACTGATAATAGGATTTTGCACCAGGAATCTTGTGGGAGTAATCTTTAAGCTGCCATTATATGCTTGTGGGAATGTAATACCCAGACTGCCTGTCGACCTATCTAAGGTCAGTGCCAAGGTATTTCATTTTTCATGAAATGTCACAAATGTCAGCAGCATTTGTACACACATGAGCCCCATTATATATATATATATATATATATATATATATATATATATATATTTCACTTAAACGATCGTAGTTCAATCTCAGAACATTTAAAAGAACACTCATGTCCACATTCAAAGTATACACATATCAATAAAAAATACATCAGTTCTCCATCAGTCAACTACATGTATAGCAACAAGATTCTTAAATTTTGTAGCATCAAAGTATTATATAAAAAATTATAAAAATTAAAATACTACAATTAAAAAATCTTTTAAAATAACACATAAGTTACCTCCCTTGCATAGAGGTAAATAAATATTTTGAATTTAAGGTGTTAACGCATACCATTGATAGATATGCAACCCTTGAACATGGTCGCATCACCGATGAGATTGAAAGTACTTGGGAAAATAAAAATGAAACGTAACTTTATTTGTATTTGCGATAGAAATAATTTGTAAAAAAAGGATTAGAAAGAAGTAAATCTATATTTTTTAAGGTTTTATTGAAATTTTATTTAAGTTTCCACATGTCCTCCATCATTAGCAATACAAAGGGTAATACGATTTTGCAGTTCACGGAAAACATTTGCCAACTGATTTACAGTAATGCCTGAAATCACATTAGTTATTTTAGCTATACTTAAAACTAGGTACATTAAACTTTATAACATTTTTTACAGATTTATTTCTATCGCAAATACAAATAAAGTTATAATTTTTTTAAGTGCTACACGAACTTTATAGACACCCTGTAGATGTCCTCAAATAACTCTAAACATAGCAAACTACTATACCGTAATCAAATGCATTTTAACTATAAGCAGGAGGGAAAAAAATTCTAAAATGACTCATAAACACTAATCTATCCTCCACTGATCCAAGTAAAATAAATAAATAAAATTAATTATATACTATACTAAATTTAACACAACCAACCTAGTTATCCATAACAACTTATCTTCGTCAACTAACGTCTTATAAAAGACCGACATCGTATATCAATTTAAATGTTCTTTGTGAGATTGCATCTCCGATAAAAATGTTAATACGTATGTTGGTTTTATAAACGATTTACATTTCACTTGAATGATCATAGTTCAATCTCAGAACATTTAAAGGAACACCTGAGCCTACATTCAAGTTTTACACAGATATCAGTCGAAAATGCATCAAACTTCATCAAGATAAGCAAAAACTTAAAATGCTGGAAGCCTTTTACATAAACTAACTGCGGCCAAAAATAAAGTCAACTACAAGTATAGCAACAAAATTCGTAAATGTTTGTAGCATCAAAGTATTATATAAAAAATACTAAATTAAAATACAATTAAAAAAATGTTTTAGACTATAATTTTTACGTACAATTTCATTTACAAATTAGACTGTCATTTTGAATAAGTTGGGAAATGATGCTGGAATCATATATATATATATATATATATATATATATATTTGAACTTCATTTAAATCATTTATTAGTTTCCGATCCTTAGCTATGATTAATTAATTATGAACATGTCGTTTTCGTTTATGATCGATTTCATCAAGATTCTTCTGTTAAGCTTGGATACATTATACATTCTTATTGCTCAATGTGTAGTACAATAGTGTTGTAAAATCCTCGGAGAATTCCAGTAAGATATCTTTAATCATTTCTAAGATACAACGTTTCAGCACTTCATCTAAAATTTGTACAATTTTGTTCTTACACGATTTGGACAATTTTGCTGTTATACACGGTATAATTAATACAAATATAAAATTTGTCACTTAATTGATTGATGTTACTTTCAGCAAACGCTGGCAAAACTCGTCAGGGATATCGCAATTGACTATTTTCTCATTTTTTATTATTTGTATATATATATATATATATATATATATATATATATATATATATATAAATGTGTGTGTGTGTGTGTGTGTGTGTGTGCACATTTCATTGAATACGACGGACAATCTTTTTTATTTATTATTTTATATAAAATGCGATCTAATAATTTTTTTTTTTCTTTTCGGATCATAAATTATATAAAATCTGTCCGAATGTTCTTTTATTCCGAGCACTTTCGGCTATTCATTAAGCCATTTTCAAGGATTAAATATTTTAACTGTTAAATAAGAAATAGTTTGTTGTATGCATGTTTTATAAAAATGTTTTCATTTTTTTCAAAACACGGTCAAGACATTGATTCCATGTTCATAGTTAATATTATTAAGTGTTGTTTTTGTTTGTTTGTATTATTAAGGCTTCCACTATTTTTAGCCTTTTTTTGCATGTAGATGATGCTATTATATTAGTGTTGTCAACAAGTACGAATAGCGCCCGGTAGGTCTCGATGAATATTGAAATGAGATCTAATTGCGCTATGGTCAGAAAGGTGTAGAGTGAGTCTGCGTGTCAAACATGTTGTAGTTTGGCCTATATAATTATTTACGAATTTTGATTGATAAGGAATACAATTCCTTAATGGGCATTTAAATATATATATATATATATATATATACTGCTTTTAACACTGTCATTGTTTTTTATCATCGTCATTATTATTATTATATTATCTGTATTGTCACCATCATCATTAACATGGTTGCCACAACTATTATCATATTTACGATTGTCGTCATTATCTCCCCCCCCACTTTTTTAACAGTTTCGTATCGATCATCATTAAGGCTAAATTTACCATTAACACATCAACAACTATTATCAACATATTAATAATAATTAATATCATAGTTATTATCGCTATCAGCATCATCACAATCGTCAACAACACACAAGCAATTAGCGTTGAAAATACAAACATCATCATCACCATGTCCACAAACAGAACCCAGCTTAATCAAAGAGCCATACCAATAGGAGTGTATGTGCGCGTCTACATTCGCTTATGTGTGTATGAGGAAGTGTAAGTTTCTCTGACGGCGCAGGCGGTAGATCTGAGAAGCGTCAGGACCTTGTTGAAACGAACATCGCTACCTATAATAGAAGCTAAGGTCTCGACACCAAAATAGAATTACAACTGCATATATATATATGTATGCCCGAACGCATGGATATGTATCTGCGCCTAGCCTCGGATTGTTTATATCAACGTGTTTGTGTAAACCAAAATGCGTACACCTGTATGTATGCATGTGTGTCTATGCGCATAAGAGTGTCACCCCAAATAAACACAGAAGTAATAAACACAGAAGTAAATTCCCTCACCTACCAAGAAACATAGTCAAACAAACATAAAAATAAACCAGTTTGTCTGATAACCGCAAATGCGTTAAATCCCGGGTCACAAACTTATATCCATACAACTGAATATATATATATATATATAT